TTAATAGATATTTAATGAGTTGCATGTTAATTGAGAGAGATTTATGGAGAGATTAAATGATCAATATGATACAAAAAAATTAAATGGAAAAATTTAGAATTAAAAAAGACACTTGTCAAGATAATGGAAGAGGACCTCCTCTCATTTAATGTATACTAGTAATATGCATGTGTGTTAGACGTAGTTAAAATTAATCATTAAAACATATTTGTCAATGAAAAATATTTTCAATAAAACATGGCCTCCGAGATCATTGAATTTATCCTCTGGATAAGTTTATTAAATAATAATGATTTTTTTTAAAATCATGAAAAAAATATAAATAATTCAGATGTGCTATTTGTGATAAATAAGATTATAAGGAGACAAAAATCTTAAATGCTATTTTAAATAGAGAAATCAAGAGAGATGTAGTGCAACTGAAAAATAGTGAGAGATAGCTAGAGGACATGGGATCAAAATTTATAATTAGAAAATAAAAATTTCTCAAGCATCTCCAAAAAAGGAAAAAGAATTAAATCTTATTTATACTTCATCACATATTTTTTTTGTTAAAAATATAATATTGTAATTACAAAACCAATGTGATGTTCAAAAGTCATAAAAATTTTAAAATATAAAAATTATAATTAAAATGCATTTAGAAGGAAAATTTTAGATGAAAACAAATCAATACATTATTTAACGTAAGAATAAAAAATAAAAATTAATCATTTTTCTTTGGCATTCATCATCAATGGGAGTTACCTAATAAGATAAAAGTAACTTATAAAATAAAAATAAAAATACTAAAAATATTACTTCCCTATAGAGAGATGAAAAGAGACATAATCCATTTGAAAAATAGCCTAGAAGACAAAGTAACATGAATAAATAAGTTATAGGCAATTAAAATAAATGACAATAAAAAATACTTCAATAACTATAGTTGTTGTTATGACTGTTATTATTATTATTATTATAATTATAATAATAACAATAACAATAACAATAACAATGACAATGACAATGACAATGACAATGACAATGACAATGACAATGACAATAACAATAACAATAACAATAACAATAACAATAACAATAACAATAACAATAACAATCATAATAACAATAATAATAGTAGTAGTAGTAGTTGTTGTTGTTGTCGGTGTTGTTATTATTATTATTATTGAGCAAACAACTTATTTCTGATAATTAATAAATTACATTATAACTTGAAAAGTATAAATGATATAGATAGAAATGGATAACGTACCTTCTACCATTTTTTTTAAAAACTAGTTCTAACAAAAAACTTGCTAGAGATAGTGATAGGATAACCAAGAGAGAGAGAGAGAGTTTCCTCAGCAGATAAATCTGTAAATGATAGGCTTTTGAATTAAGGAATTTAACCTTTTAAATTGATAGATGATGGGAGTTTTAGATACTTAGGAACAAAGAGATTGAGAGAGAAATTTTTAAAAAGAGAGATTAATAAGAGAGGAGAGATTACATAAGAGATTTAAAGAGAGAGTTATGGCATAGAGGTATATTAATTGTGTGTTACATAGTGGGAGAGAGAAACATGGGAGAGCGAGAGAAACGTAGGAAGTAGAGAGATTAACTAAAATTGAGAGAGAGGAGAGAAAAGTGGAAGATAGAGAGATAGAGAGACATGCCGTATATAAAAACATTACACTAAAAAAAGAATTGCATATATTTATGTCTTTTTATGCATGTTGGAGAACGAAAAAGAGATAGAGAAAATGTGAGAGGGAGATAAAGAAACAGAGTAAATTAATTGAAATTAAAAGAGAGAGCGTTCAATAGTATAGCAAAGAAAATAAAGTGAAAGATGTAAGAGAGATTTATTAGGACATGAGAGATGAGAGAAAGAGATTGATATGGGGGAGTAGAGAGAAGAAGAGAGCAACAATTTTTATTAGGAAATAAAGAAAGAGAATTATTAGGAAAAGAGAGAGGAGAGAGAAAATAAAATGGGGGAGGAGAGAGAAGAAGAGAGTGTAGAAGTTATTATTAAGAAATAAAGAGATGGATTCATTAAGGAATGAGAGAGGAGAGAGAGAGATTAATATGGAAGAGGAGAGAGAATAAGAGATAGAGAGAAATGGTAGTTATTATTAGAAAATAGAGGGAGAGAAATTTATTAAAAAAGGAGAGAGATTAATACGAGAGAGAATAGAGAAAACAAAAACATTGGGGAGGAGAGAAGAAAAGAGAGAGACTAAGGGGCCTTGGTGTGGGAGTAGAGAAGAGAGAGAGACGTGGAGGGGGGTAGAGAGTGAAGGGAGAGAGGGAGAGAGAGAAGATTAATAAGATTAAATAGAGAGAGATTTAAGAGGATGGGACATGTGGCGCACTAATAGGAGGGATACTCCTCTGGCTTAATATAAAAATAAAAATAAAAATGATAAATAAATGGAAAAATTACATGCATATCCATTATAGTTTCCATTATTATGGTTCTACCGAATAGTTTCCGTTATTACCACTGTGTCCATTTTTATCATGTCAAAACGAAATTTTTTAAAGAAGATGACTTTACCCTTTTTCGGCTATAACGGATATATATGTAATTTTCTCTAAACAAATATTAAAATATTTTATAATCTCAGTGATTATATAGGTATGCATAAGTTTGGAAAAATAAAAAATCATTTATTGGTGGAATGATGTGCTTGAATTAAATGCTTATGTCATCCATCTTTAAAGTTGATGAAGAGAGAAGTAATGATAATTTACTTTATATCTTAGTCCTACAGGATTGTCTTGTATATTTACTCTTTCAGGTAAAAAGCATACTCTTCTAGGTAAAAAGCCTATTAAGTAGTTTTTTATTAAACTAAAATTGACAAGTCATAGATATTAATGCCATTGTTGATGAGATTAGATCTTCAAAACATGTTGATGAAGTTAGATTTCAAAACTGTAGATCTTTAAAGTTCCTATACAATGTTTTAACACATATATACAATACTCCAATGGGAGTATGTAACCTCTAGTAAGGTAAATCTATAAACTTCTGCAAGTATATTGAACTTGCTCCCAAGCTCTTAATTCATTACTTGTGCATAGATGTGTCCCAATCCAAACTGTAGATTTTGTAATAAAAATATAAAATTAAACTCATAATTTAAATACAAAAGTCAACTAAGAAATAAAAACATTGCACAATAATATGTGAAGCTCATGAGTAATCATAGTCATCTCCTAATAAATTCATGAAAAAAGCGTTACTAAAACAAAAAATTTTTAAGCTAAGAAATATTAAGAGATTACAGTTCCAATTATCAAAGGCACATAAATCTAGGATGGAAATAATTATTAACTTTTTTTCTAGTGAACTCTAGCTAACACTAAATTTATAAACAATAAGAAAGATAAAATGAAAATTTTAGTGAAAATTACATAATATAAAAAGAATAGAAAAAAAATTATAGAAGGTTTTAACCTTACTTGTAGAAGTATGGTTGTAGTAATCACATCATTTATTTTATTTGAACAATGTAGGTTTGGCACTATCTTGAAACACATGCCATTTTTTTACCCCGTCTTAAAAGACATGTAAAATTCATGTCATGAAACTACAAGAAATTACACTACATGATCATTAAAGAGATTAATGAAAGTGGTTTGCAAAAAGTTGCAATCTTAAATAATCAAAGCAAGGCGCACCTCCAAACTTAGTCATAAGATTCTCGGGTCATCTCATTAAACTAAAAAATAAACACATGAAAATCTTGAAAATAGACGGTTCAGATAATGTGTTGTAAGATGTACTAGTTTGGAACTAAGAATCTTCTTATTTTTCTGTATTCATACATCTCAATGTTGAGATGATCAATTAGATGGTTTTCCAATGTCAAAATAGCCTTTTTTGATGATTTTTTATATGTACCTTAATTCTATAATATAAGGTGTCAACTTTGAAAATGCAACTGATGAAATTGTTTGGGAGCTTGATTCAGATGGACTATTTTCGATGAAGTCAATGTATAATCTACTTTTCCATGATCACTTTGCAGATGTATAGATGTGGCTGGCAGTAAAAGATAAGGTTCTCACCATTGATAACCTTATCAAAAGAGGGAAGATCTTACCAAATATTTACTTATTATGCAAAAATGATGTTGAATCACGTGCTCATATATTTTTACATTGTTCTTTTATGCTTAAAATTTGGCATTAGTTCTTTGACCAGCTTGCGTGTGCTATGGTTATGCCTGCGGTAGTTAAAGGGATTATTTTAAATTTAGGAGTTTCTTGGCTTCTACAAATTGGTGTGGTAATTTGGCAAATTGCGAGAGGACTAATTCTTTGGGAAGTTTGGAAGGAGAGAAATAAAAGAGTGTTTGAAGGGATTTGTTTGCCTATGAAAAGTATTTTGGAGAAAATTTTACATTTTATTTGGCTTTTATGTTCAATTACAAAAGACGTAAATATATCCTTGAAGTGGATGTTAGGTGAAATTTAACAAATCTTTTCCATTTAAGATCTTTTAAGTGTCGGTGATGGATACCCCTTTAGGTTGGGGTTTTTAAACTTAATTTTGATGGGAGATTTTTAGAAAATTCGGGTCCTGTTGATTTTGAAAGAGTGGTGAGGGATTCGAATGGATCTGGTATCTTTCCTTATGCAAGCCCACGTGGAGATAAATCTACAAATAATGCATAATTATTGGCTCTCTTCTATAGTTTAAAATTACATGCAAGAAGAAATTTAGGGTCTTATTGTAGGTTGGAAGGTGATTATTTAAATATCATAAAATGGTGTAATAAGGCGCAAAAACCACCTTGGGAACTTTACTCACAATGGGTTTACCCTCCATTAAAGCCGTTGCTCAAATTTCCGGCGCTTCATTTTGAGTGACTTTCAGCTCTTGTGGCGAGCAATCCTTTTTCTATGAACCTTCGAAGTAGTTGCTCCTCGTCATGCCCTAGAAGAAGCTGGTCCGAGTGAATATGAGGAAGATGGTGTTAAATCCTTGGTACGTTTGAGAGTTTTAAACGAGAATTAGGGCAAGGGAGCCATGATAATACTTCTTGTGATGGATTGTGGGGCATAGTGGGGATACGGGGAACTTTGAGAAGGGGAATTGCAGAGATAGTTTCGGAGGAATGGAGAAGCGCATGGGTGATTTGGACTTACTTTCGTGCCCTATCTGCATGGAGCCGTGGAGCTCTGATGATGCTCATAGGATCTGGTATAAACCTTAGAGAACCCTAAAGACTTTGTTGAAGAATTTTTTGGGATTTTTTCGTTGATTTTGTTTAGTAGCTGATATAGAAGTATTCATCCACTTAATCTAAACTTTAATGTTACAAATTTGCTTCCTTTGACATCATGCTGTGGCCCTGGTTTTTCTTTTTGCGTCAAGTTTTTTGCATCCATTGTTTTCTTGTTCTCCATAATAATTTCATGCAGTGTTTTGTAACTTCGCTAGTGCAATCAGACTTACCCTTGACAACCCCCGGGGATTATAATTGCTATATAAATAGTTACAATTGGTTTTTAATTGATTTAATCTTGAGTGATTTACGTATGGACCCTAAATTTTTTCCTAAAATATGAAATACTGTATTTTTAGGTGGAAATTACAAAGAAAGTGGGTCAACTACAGTTTTTTTATTTTTTTCAAAACTGTTCTTCGGTCCGAGGACAACCTCAAACTGAATTTTTAATTTTAATTTTCTTGTTTAGTTTTTTTGATAGTAAGGCACTGCCCTAAATCTTAGGGCGGTACCCTACTAACAAAAAAACAAAAAAAAAATTAAAATTCAGATAGAGGATTCCATCCTTAGACTAAGGGCCAATTTTGGAAAAAAAATGTGGGTTGACCAACCTTCTTTGTAATTTTTTGCCTATAAATGGAGCATTTCGTATTTTAGAAAAACATTTGAGGTCCATATGTAAATCACTCTTTAATCTTTGACTAAATCAATTATGATTATGTTATTTATACCTCACGCAATTAATTTGGAAAAAGACTATGATGATGATATATACCAACCAAATTGGACTTTTAAGGCATTCTCCCCTTCCTCCCTCTCTCTAAAACAAACTACTTTTGATACCACACTATTAACCCTATTGGTTTTCTTTGCACCCCACCCAGCTCCTCCCTTAAGCATTAATGGTAATTTTTTTTTTGACCAAAATATCTTTATTTTAACCCACTCTTCCCACTCTCTCTATCTCTCTCCCTCTGTAAGCCCATCCGGCACAACTTGAATATACAAGCCAGATTGACACAATTTCAAATGTGCCTGACCGACACGATTTCAATATAAGCTGGTCAGACATATTTTGTGCCGGATTGGCATAATGTTAAGATTAGAAGCCGATGCATTTTGTGTAGATGGGCACTTTTTCCAAAGCCGGTCTGGTACCGGCACATCTTAGGCCTCATAATTTGAAAACGCAGGTTAAACGAGGGGTATTTGGGGGGGCATATGTGTAGGAAGTATAAATTGGTGGTGTATCTATAATTTCCCTTGGTTTTATTTATACTTTTTATGGTTTTGTGTTTTTTAATTATTTTTTCTATTTGTTTTGGAAAGGTGATGTTTAACCGGTTTCTTTTTTTCTTAAAACAAATCGATAACTCCTTTCTCATCTTTTATATACTCACTGTTTTGGTTTTTCCTATATTCACTTTTTTTTTTGTTTTCTTTTTTTTGGGTTTTTAGCTCATTAGGCTGCTTGGCGTGCCCTCTGGTGACTGGACTCATTCTCACCCGAGTAACTCTGGCAGGCCAGGGGCCAACTTCTATGGCCGATCCGAGTGGTGATTTTGTAACACACTGTTTCGAACTAAAGAAATTACAATGTAGACTTCACACCTGCTATACCATTCAGTTAATTGAAACATAGTTTGTCCACCTATTATATAATGTAAACCGAGTTATTCATCTTTCTTGGAGTAGTTGCTCCATTCATTTCTTCCAACCCCTTGGCTCATACTTTCTCTATGAACACCTTTTTCGTGCTATTGAACTCATTATTGATATGAATTCTATATGCTTTGTGTAATTACTTGCTAAAAAATTCTGCTTCTGTTTTTCGATCTCTTTTCTGTAGAGTTAGGGCCCTTCAAGGGTAGGGAACCATTTATATTGTGACCATGAGGGGCTTTTGACATAGTAATTCTGTGCTACAAGCCTTCACAATAAGTGATCTTTTGGGATGAAACTGCCCTGCTTTTAAGAGTGACAAAAAATTCAAAAAATGGCAACCCACAAATCGGGTTCTCTGTACATCACAAAATATAAGTACTATTTTTTTTACGGGTAGTTAATATAAGTACTATTTTAGAAAGTGCAGTGTTGGATATTTTATTGATCATCTGTGACTCTGTTGAGTGTGGCAGTTGTCTTCCTTGTGGGCACTTATTTGGACACTCATGCATAGAAACATGGATTCAAAGATGTGGGAGATCTGACGGGAAGGTAGTACTTTTGTTGTGTGAGTGAAGGAAACAGTTGCCTTTACTGTGGGATGCCCACCAATAGTTTATTTACTTCTTCTTTGATGTGTGATGTGTTTGCATGTGGTTGTAGACAGTGTCCACAATGCAACAAGACATGTAAAGTCAAAGATATAACAAAGCTCTATGCCCCGCGTATTGCCGTTGCTGACAAAGATTGCAAACAGGTTGGACAGTCACAGTTGGCCCAGTTTCACATTAACTAAATTACATATCTCAAGTTCGTGTGAACTTTTTGCCCAAAGAAAGTGGTAATCTTGCTTTTGTTTTATTGATCATTTGATGTTACTTATTTTCTTGTTGATTGGCAGGAAATGGTCACTCTTCGGGTCAAAAATGAATCTCTTGAGTTGCAGGTATTGCCAAAATGCAACATGCTAGGTTCCTAATGTATTCCTTGAGATGAGCTATCAGTAAACGCGTCCTTACCAAGCCATCACGATTGTTAACTCATCTGCACAGTTAGGTTGTCAAATAGAATGTAGTTTTCCCTCTTGAGGCAGAATGACACCTAAAATACTTTCACAACACAAATGTACTTCTTTCTGGTTTATTTGGAAATACTTTACATTCTAGAAATACTTTTCCAATTACTTGTTCTATATTTGTTCTACTTCAGGTTTGCATTTTATTCTGAATTGATCTTGGATTAAGGTAGTAATAATTTTCCCCTGTTACATAATTACACACAATTCTCTTCTGGGCCTTGTATAGTTTTTGGGTATTCCCAGGTTGACATTGGGACGCTGAATGAGACGCATTTACACTTTAAAAAGTTGAGTAACATGTGTTGTACATATTTATCACCGGCAAAAAGTCGGCTGGGGTTTGCCACTCCGCCCCTTACCAAGCTGAGTAACTTGGGTGAGTATGAGTGGACTAGCTCGAGTAGTTTATGGGCCCAAAAAGAGCTAAAAAAATGCAAAATAAAATTTAAAATATGCTAAATTAAAAAAAAGAAGAAAAAAGTAAAACAAAATTGTAAAATGAATAAAAAATCTATGAAAGATGGAAAAAACTATATGGAAAATAGAATTTGGAAAAAAATTGATTCATAGCTTGAAACAGTTTTGAAATATCCAAAAAAAGGGAAAATAGAAATATAGAGAATATAATAAGAAAAACTCACAAATCATCCTAAAAAACAGCAAAAATACATACAAACATATTTACAGAATACATCTATGTAGTGATTAATAAAAATATAAGTTTTATGGTTTTTTTTTAGATTTTCAAGTTTGTACCCAGGAACTCGGCTCGGCAGGCTGCCAAGTTCAGGTAACCCGGTTGAGTATGAGTCGACTTGGTTGAGTCTTCGAGCACTGATATTTATAGAACCTTAAGGACGTGCCATTCTGGAATAATGTGCTGCAAAACAAGTTTTAAACTTTTAATTATGTAAATCTCTCAAACTTTGAAGTGTTTGTGCTTGTGGGATGATTTCTCAGGGCCAATCCTCACAATGAGATTTTGGTCAAAATATATTTTAAAAATGGAGTTATCAGATCTCCTCCTTGATTCAACTTCTATGTAATAGGGCCAAAGCCTGGTCATACTTTGATTGTTTGATATATGGTCTCCAAATTTCAGATGGGATTGAGCCACGTGCTCGAGTGGTTAGGTGTTTACAATTGGAACACCACAACTCTGTTTGTAGTTGTGCTCCTAACATATCCCAAAAGAGAAAAGAAAAATGATTTACCTTCCTGATTGCATGGATCATGTCTTAGAAGTTTGAATTTGGTCAGAAATAAGTGTTCTTCAGAGACACAAATTTCTTTATCTTTATGTCCTATATCTGCTCCTTGTCCCCTGCTTATTCATAATAACAAAATGAGTATATGTTTTCTATGTTTCTTCCTAACATGCTTCTAGCTTGTGATTGAGTAATTGATAGCGAAAAAGCATTCTGATTCTTATTGATATATCAATTCGTATGAATAGTCATTGCTTATGTAGCTACTTTTTTTTTTACTCTGTTTTAGCTAAGTTCATATATATCGGTTAAAGCTCCATATTTCAAGGTTAAGAAGACAGAAACGGCCGCTTGTATGTCTAGGGTTCCCAACCGCCTGGGCGGCAGTCCCAGGGCACAAGGTGGCCACTGCTTAGGTACTTTTTGTTTTTTGGGTGGGGTGGAGGGGGTGTGGGCGGGGTGAGAAAAGTGGGGGCATGTGGTTTTCATTTATGGAACCTAAATATTTATAAACTAAAATTTACATGTTAAAATATAAAATTGTAAAGTTGCCCAAAATTTGACATCCATTAACCATTTAAGCAAAAATACAAAGATAAATAACATAAATGTACATCCATAAGCATATCAAGCATTACTTTAAACTTCAAAGCTTAGAAGTTCAACTTCAATTCATTCCACTACCTAAAAAAAATTCCAACACATTCTAGTGTTCCCAAATCCAAAGTTCCATGATATAAAATTATGTTCTAACAGAATATATTATAGAATTTTGATTTTGCGCTATCAAGTAAAAGCATAGCCAAACATACCAAAAAATATGTTGTAATCACAAAGTAGCTAACAAACCCTAGAAGTTTCATCATAAATGTCAAGCCAAACTTTAAAGATAAACACAAGAAAATTGCCTAAAAAACATAATATAATACAATACTCACACAAAATATGAAAATATAAAGATTTAAATCTAATAACCGTTCCAAACCGAATCGACGTAGGCTTCAATCGCGTACTTTTAGATGCCAAAACCTTCTTCTTGAATGAACGAGAGTTGGGTTTAAGGTTTACCAAATTTACGGAGTCATTGAAGGTTGAAGTATCGTGAGACAATCTACTTTCTTCTTTGGCTTAAAGAGAGGTGATGATCTCGTCCAACTTCGGCATGCTCTCCCTTTCGGTTAGGCCTGAAATGAAACTTTCCCATGATTTACAATAAAATATAGCTAGGTTTAAAAATGTTCGGTTTTGTGGATTTTAAAGGTCTAGAGAGCTTATAAATGTGATATTTTATAGTAAAATATTCACTTTAGTGGGAGTGTGTGTTGACTGACTAAGGGTTGAGTGATTTAGGGACCTGGTCATGTCTATCCGTGGGGATGTAGCACTACTTAAAAGGGTTTGCAGTGGATCATCCCTTGTTAAAGTCGGAGAGATGCCCAAGGATGATATTTGTAGGTCAGGATAACTGTGTGGTCTCCTGTGTGCAGTTATTGACTTGTGAGAGCAAGGGCCGCCAAAGCCTCAACAAACTTCCGTACAGAATGTACACATGACAGCCGCATTACTAGGACATAGCCCTATAGAGGGACACATGTACATGTGCAAATCATAGTATAGATAGTAGGTTTATTGATTCCATCTCCTTGGAACATTGAGACAGTATGACATAAGTTCAGATGCACAAAAGCAAGTCACAGAGGTTTACTGTCATCCAGACTTTGCTATGCACTAGACTTAGTGGTGGTTTCATGCTTTTTGCTCCTTCAGTGTAGGATTGATGTGCTAGAAGATTTTGAAGTAAATGGCAGAAATTGAGTGGCGGACCGTTTTAAGTGTTTGGACAGTCAGCGAATGTTGATCCGAATATTTTGGTTACTGAAGTGGTGATGTTTAGGAGAACAAAAGACCCATCCAAGGAAAGATGCAAACTTACAAATGAAGCAACCGACATACTGTTGGTCTTGGGAATAGATTAGGCGAATAGATTGTGTGGTATGAGAAGTCTTCCCATAGAAAAATATGGGAATGATGATCTCACTGTTCATGAGCCTGATTAAGCCCCAAGTGTGGTTTTGACAACCTAGGTATGCCTTATCCATGTTCATGAATTTGAGAATTTTTGTAAGTCGGTGGGGGAGAAGGCCCCCTGCCCGTTTTTCCATTAATAAAAGAGTAGAGAAAAGCAATTAACGTACAACCCTATAGTAGGGTAATTGCGCCAGATCATGTAATAAAAGAGAGGAAAGAAAATCTGGTGGTTTATGGCGCCACACAGTAGCACCGGGGCCAGAAGATGCCCTTTTAGCGAGGGCATTAACAACTATGTTTGCCTCTTGAAAAACATGTGTAATAGATCATTGATGGGAAGAAAGTTTGGTGCGACAATTATCTGCAATCGTCTTTAGTCGCCATGGAGCAGTGCATCACTTCTGAATGACATTCACAAGGAAGGCTGAATCACTTTCTATCTGTATTGGAAAGCAATTCCTTTGATGAACCAATTGAATTCCTTCCTCAAGTGCCAAAAATTCTACATGGTTATTAGAAGCAAAACCAAAATGCTTTGCAAAAGCAGCAATGAAACCGCCTTTTATGTTTCTGATGACTCCACCACCACCTGCTAAACCTGGATTTCTCAAGGAAGCACCATCAATATTGAGCTTGGAATTCTGAGCTTCTGAAAAAGACCATGCCACAGGAATAAGGGATTCTGACCTCTGCTGACGCCAAGTTATCTGAAGATTACCAATTATGACATTTTCTGATAAATGGAAATACCACTTTTTAACATCTGTTGGTGCCTGAACATGTAAAGATAATCCGTTTCACAATAAGCTCTCTCCTAGTGGGTCTTGACTCAAAGACTCCTCTGTTGCACTCTTCCCATTGAAACCAAATAGCACTAAAAAAGATGGAAGACCAAATATTACGAAGTCCATGTGATTTAAACTTGAAAAGTAACCACCATAAATCAGGGACAGAAGTAACGAGTACAAACTGTTTTCCACATCTCCAAGCTAATGATCTCCATACACCCTGCACAAAAGCACATTGGAATAATAGATGGACAAGGCTTTCATCATGGTTTCTACAAAAGGGACATAAAGAGTCCAGTTGCATACCCTGCTGCTGCAATAAAAATAAGGTGGGCAATCAATTATGCAAGGCTAGCCATGAGAACCATTTCACTCGTGGCTGGCATTTGAGGATCAAAGTGCATGGAAAATAGGCTGTGATGAACCTTGATGCCTAATAAAATCCCATGCCCCTTTAATAGAAAATAGGCCATCAGCAGAGTGAATCCAGACCAGTGAATCCTTTTTGGGCTGTAGAGGAAGAGTATAATTGCAAACCTCCCTCCATATATTTCTCAAAAAATTAAATGTGGGATGTGGCAGAACCCAAGATTGGGGCGAACCTTTGATAAAGTCTGAAACCCTCCTCCCTACAGTAGCCCCCAAATCCTCCTAAATGTCATTATCATGCAAATCTGAAAGTGATTTACCTGCTAACCATGGATCCACCCAGAAATCCACCATCTGACCATTTACCAATATTCCATTGTACATGGCCTTTCAAGTGAAATAAGCCAAGTAAATTCCCCTTTCATGCATGAAAACATTTTCGTCTTCCTTCAGCCTCCCATATAGAGGAATTTCT